AATTATTTTATCTTTTCTGTCATTTTTATCATTATTTGCCACGCGTTTCTTTTTCCAGCCTTCCAATCTCCGAGTTCTCTGCATTTTTTTATTTTCCAATCTTTATTCAAATCTTTATTCAAATTCAAATCTTTATTCAAATCTGTAATCTTTTTTTCAAACTCCTCTTCAACTTCTCTTTCCTATCATTCCTCCCCTGTGAACCTTCTTTTCTTTTCAAAATAAATAAAACATTGACTCAAAATATCTTTATTAATTTCTTTTAGGACAAACACATTTTAAAATTCAAATCATCATCAAATCATCATTCGGTTCGCATTTCAACTTCTTTTTCATCATATTTGCCCCAGCCGGACAGTTAAAAGCCTCTCCAAATCCTTCAATTTGTTGAAGAAGGAAATTGAGTCGATTTCCATGGGATACCGTATTCTTTGTAGTCTTTTTTTGACACGTGGATTGGATCATAGAATAGAAGAAGAGTTGATCGCCGGTGGCATAATCAAATTCAGGTAATTGCAACTCCTCTGGCTTTTTCGATTTTCGATACTTGTCCCATGCCACTTTCATGCCCATGAAATCCACAAGAATGTTCTGGAAAATAATTTAAAAAAAAATAAATCTACGTTTCATACAGCATCATGACTATGTCCTAGAAGACATTTGCCAAAACTTTTCGTGGCATTTTTTCCCAACGTTTTCAGAATAACCGACATATCGGACGCCACGTCATGACCTCCTTTTCCATACTGGACAGCTGATGGGTAGCTGACATCGAATCGTGGTTGGGTTTTCATAAGAGCGTAGATTTCTGGAAATTACAAATTTTCGATTTTGCCGCCAAAATTTTCCGAAAAAGTTGACCGACTTTCCACTGGAAACTCCTGATTGAAAATCGATCTAGCATGCGTATTCTCACTGATTGTCTTATCGTGAGCAATTGATAAAAGAGCCTCTTGCATATTTTGAGTGTTAAATTGTGTGATGACTTTGTAAAAAGATTGCCTATTATGGATTATGACCCTCTCCAACAAATTGTTCTCCGAGAATCCAATTCCGTGGGATCCAATGTCCGTTTTGAATTTTTCCAACTTTTTGATCATTTGGGCTTTCAATGGTTTATCAAATTTTTTGGATTTGGATATTTGATCTATATATTCTGATCGGATGGAATCGATCAAGTTCGGGATCGCTATGATGTTATCGGGTTGGACGAAATGGTTGATGTAGATGGAGAGAGCGGTACGTGGCATCATGGAGAACGCGATCTGAAAGTACATTAATCTATGCCAATTAAGTAGGATCTTGGCTGATTTAGAACATTCAGTTTACTCCAGTTTTTTATACACTGTAAATTTTAAACTAAATTTTACACTGTAAGTAACTCCAAAATATCTTTTTTAGGACTCTGAAGTTGACTAGGATCTTCGAATTTTCAGACTTTAAGAATTTTGCGATCCTCAGGTCGTTCGGATTCTCAGAATCTTAGAATCTCAGATCTCAGAATTTCAGAATCTCAGAATCTCAGAATCTCAGAATCTCAGAATCTCAGAATCTCAGAATCTCAGAATCTCCAGAATCTCAGAATTTCAGAATCTCAGAATCTCAGAATCTCAGAATCTCAAAATCTCAGAATTTGAGAACTTGAGATCTCCAGAATCTCAGAATTTCAGAATTTCAGAATCTCAGAATCTTTGAATCTCAGAATCCTAGAATCTCAGAATTTCAGAATCTCAGAATCTCAGAATCTCAGAATCTCAAAATCTTAGAATTTGAGAATTTGAGAACTCCAGAATCTCAGAATCTCAGAATCTCAGAATCTCAGAAACTCAAAATCTTAGAATCTCAGAATCTCAAAATCTCAGAATCTCAGAATCTCAAAATCTCAGAATCTCAGAATCTCAGAATTTCAGAATTTCAGAATCTCAGAATCCTAGAATCTCAGAATCTCAGAATCTCAAAATCTTAGAATTTGAGAATTTGAGAACTCCAGAATCTCAGAATCTCAAAATCTCAGAATCTCAGAATCTCAGAATCTCAGAATCTCAGAATCTCAGAATCTCAGAATCTCAGAATATCAGAATCTCAGAATCTCAGAATATCAGAATTTCAGAATCTCAAAATCTTAGAATCTCAGAATCTCAGAATCTC